GATAGTGTTGTCACGAAGACACAAGGCGACGTCTTTATAAAATAAACCTTTGGGGAAAAATCGAGGGGATCATTCTTATTACATGAAATAAAACGGCTCTCTGAAGGCAGTTGTACTAGGATTTGGAAATGGTTGGACTTGGTGAAGTGCCTGCTTTTAGCTTAGATGTTTTAATAGACTGAGCCGAATTTCCTTCAAGAGAAAACTTCTGACGTAGACGTCTTGTTTTGATGAAATCAGCGAAGTGTTTTTAGAATACTTGTCATATTCTTTGGAACAGATTTGCCAGGATTCCATGCGACAAATACATGAGCAGACTAGCCAAATCGATTCGGTTGTGTCTTTATGAACACCAGTTCGATTGCATCTTCATACCGCTTGACTCGGCTGCGTTAAGGGCTGGTGCAAGAGGGCTGACGAACAATTGTGTATAGCTCGTCGTCTATCAGAACACCTTAATGATGACGCTATTGTCTACTTCGAACTGGTACTTTGTAAGTAAGAAGGACATTAAGTGATAAGGTAACAAACGGTAACCTGAGGGAATGGCCTTAATGAAAACAACCGCTCTGAGTTCCACACACGGTGCTCAATAATGAAGAGTTTTCGACAAAGAAGAAATAGAAGGACACAACCATTCTTCGTTCCGAGGTCAAAAATACTTTGAGTACCAAAGGTGTCAAACTGAATATCAGTTTTGTGGATTTTTTATACTAACGACATTTTTGCTTTATGAATAGCAATCATATACATATGTAAATATATATACATACGTATGTAAACTCCACTGATAAGTGCTTCTTTCTTTTGCCGTCTTAAGAAAAAGAACGCTGTTTAATACCACGTTCTTCCTCATAGAATAGCCTTTCTATTCTAAAATTATTGATTTTATGGAAAGATAAACTAAAGGTATAGAATTTCTTATTGTTTCTACTCTTCTCCATGAAATTACAAAATCCTTTCTTCTTTTCGGTTTCTAAGAAATGTAATGTTTGCTGGATAATGTTCAACGACGACAAGGCATATCTGAACACTTTCTAGAGTTTTTTTTTGTCTTAAGCTTTATGGACGAGGAACGAGTTTTGGAGCATTTAACCCAGTTGCGTTGTCTGGCAAGATCGCCCAGAAGCACCACCTCGGAAAACTTCTTCCCTTGTATTTCAGTGCGACTGGAGAACCTCATTTCATCGCACTTACCAAACCGTGCAATTTTCTATGTGGTCACACTGCTGAGATAACAATAGGATAAAGATATGAGAACCAATGGCTATACCAACATCACATTCTTCTTTCCCGGATCCTTTTTATGCGTTCTTCGGCAGTCGTCTAACAGTTCGTGCATTTCATGTCGTCGTGTAACGGATTTCAGGCCGCTTAGTGTGCGTGGAAGGCATTGATCGACATTGAAACGCCACTGAAAGCCGGATGTCCCTCGAAACGTGATGGTCCCAAGAGACGCTGGGAGTCATCCACTATTCCTTTGAAAAATTCTGACAAATAGGGCAGGGAAAGTTAAAAAATCTAGGGATCCAATTTAAGTGTTCGGAGCATCTGTTTGTTATCACTTTTATTATTGCTTGAATTAAATCACCGAAGATTGGAGTTTAAAAATTCTCTGTTGTTTCTTTGTGCGCTAACTAACCGCCTGCTAACGACTTTAACTTATCAGTTTCACTAAATTGCTCGATTCGAGGGCTTACAATAAGTCATGTGAATCGGATTATTCGTAGGGTACCTTGGCAGCAGGTTCAGAAATTTCGTATGCTGGTAGGTGGCGAGAGTAATTCGGTGCATGGGCACTGCCATCTGAAAACTACCACTGACCCAATTTGATGGATATGTATTACTAATGTTCGTCAACTTAAGAAGTTTCAGAAGTACTATGGTGTTATTTCTTTTTCTAATGCAATTGTGTCACGCCTAGCGAAACTTGCTCTGTTTCGCCTAGTCGAGCGATTTCATGAGTTTGTGACGCACCACACTGAGCGAGCATATCGATCGACTTGTTGCGATAATCAATACGCGCACTTTCTGGTGTGTAGATGTACCAAGTTAATCCAAATGAATCCTGTTGATTTTCTTCGCTTCAATTTCATTTTGTTAAGAGGGGGGATTTGTAGTGGGAAGGATTAATGTTTTCTGACTACAAGTCCCGAGTTGGCTTGATGTATTGGATTGGTTCGCAAGAGTTGATTCAAATTCTCATCCAGTTTTTCCTCTCTACTTTTGCCAAATTGGACACTTGGGATAACCCGAGCGCTACGCTAAAGTTTTATATTACCGTATACTACTAAATTATGAAGGAAACTAATCATTTGTGGTTTCTTAATGAAAGTAGGATTAAAATTTGTTCATTGCAGAAACGATTATCATAAGGGGTGCCACGAATCCCATGAACATGACGTCATACAACATAGCGAAATAAATAGCGCGATTACAATCGTATTGGTGGCTACTTCTACGCAGATGCTGTCCACTTAGAGCTCAATAAAATATTATTTAAAGAAAAGGTGTTTAGTGCGTTATTCTTTCAAATTTTTTTCACGATAATAACTTGGAAAATAAAATTTGAAGATAAAACCTTATAGGTGAGTAGAAAACTCTAAATCGTTAGTGTTTTTCACCTGTAATTAGAGCGAGACTAATAAGTCAGTATTAATTAATGGAGCAATTATGCTAAGTTTTTATTCCGTAATTATCTTCTATTTCAAACAGTGACTTTCGTCGAGTGATCTAGTGACCTATTGATTGGATCTAATGTTGCCTATTTCAACTAGAGCGTTCTTCCACGAATGTTTGGTAACCATCACCTTTATCACCTGCAGTCCCGTTGATCGTCGAGTGACTTGAGTGCGCGCCAGTAAATCTTCCATTTTTCCCTGCCGCGTGCAAGAGTAGCCCAGTGGGTTCTGCTCGCTCTAAGGACTCGTCGAGCATCATATCTCTCTTCTAGGCTCTTCGTGAAGAACTCTAACCATCCAGTCGTTGGTCTTCCTGCAGTGCGTCTAACATCCCGATGAATCCAGTCACTAACGACTCTTGCCCATCGGTTGTCATTCATACATATTACGTGTCCGGCCCGCCTTGGTAACCATGGGCTATTTAATTTCGTAGTACTGTCGATCTGTTACCGTACTTCCTTTCGTTTTTTTGTCAGTGTTGTGAAAATTGGTGTCTTTCTGTTTTCAGGAGACCGGAATAGATACATGTGTCGTTTTCGATTTCTCCTCTTGCAGTTTGCTAGAATCAAAGTGTTTGTCGTATATAATGCTGAAATATTTGCAAAAGTCGGGACCGCAGGTGTATGCGGTGGGGAACGAACACGCGCTGTTGTCCTTACCGGGGAGCAGCGCACTTCACCACTGCACTATCCGGGTCCTTCGTTTTGCCTGTCTCTCAGCTAGTTCTATTGATCTTTTGCCATCAAAAATCACCCGTCAACGGGATTGATCTGGGGAGCCCAAATCGGCGTTGAACCCAGTTAAGCTGAGGCTTAGTTATAATCACAATCTTAACCCTTTTATTTACTGCCTTTTTCTTTTTAATGGCGGGGTATGTTACGAAATATAACTCGTATGTAATGCTGAGATATTCCGTTGACGGGTGATTGCTGTTGGAGAAAAGATCAATAGAACTAGCCTGAGAGACAGGCAAAACGAAGGACCCGGATGGCGTGGTGGTGAAGTGCGCTTCTCCCCGGTAAGGACAACAGCGCGTGTTCGTTCCCCACCGCATACACCTCCGGTCCGGAGCTTTGCAAATATCTCAGCATTATATACGACTTATATTTCGCAACATACCATGCCATTAAAAAGAAAAAGGCAATTAATAAAAGGGTTAACAAAGTGTTTCCATTAGGAACAATTAGTTATCGATGAGGAATTGAGATTCCTCAGCATTGCAGTGTTTATAGTACCGAAAAAGAAAAGAACTTTCTGTACCGTACTAAAGTGACCATCACACAGCCTCGGCGTGAATAATCAATAATCGTCTTTGGATTACAACCACAATGATGCTGAGGTATTCGCAAAACTTGGGTGCCGGACCAGATCAAACCACGATTCCTTTTTCCGGAGGCTCGCACACTACCCACTGCGCCATAGAGGCCTTTGATCTGCTTTTCTGTCAGCTAGTTTTTCACCTAATGCTACCATCAGCAATCATCCGTCAATGGGATTGATCTAGGGAGCCCAAATCACCGACGAACCCAGTTAAGCTGAGGCTCTAGTCGAAATCCCAATATCAACTTTTTATTTACTACTTATTACAATTCTTCATTGCAGGGTATTACGTGTGATACAACCACAATGATGCTGAGATATTTACAAAACTTCGGATCGCAGGTATATGCGAGTATCACACGTAATGCCCTGCAATGAAAAATTGTAATAGGCAGTAAATAAAAGCTTAACATTGTGATTTCGACTACAGCCTCAGCTTAATTGGGTTCGTTGCCGATTTGGGCTCCCTAGATCAATCCCGTTGACGAGTGATTGCTAATGGCGCTGATCGATAGAACTAGCTGAGATACAGGCGAAACGAAGGACCCGCATGGTGTGGTGGTGAACGCGTTACCGGCTTTAGGTTCTGCTTAACTGGTTTCGAGGCCTATTTGTGGCCCTAGATCGTTCCCGTTAATGGGTAATTGCTAATAACACCGATAGAGTAAAAATAATTGGCTGAGAGAAAGGTAAATCAAAGGCCTTGGTTGTTGTGGTGAATAGCACGTGAACCCTCAATGAGGGTAACCGGTAGCTCGAACCCCACCTGAAGTTACGAGTTTTTCTCGTATCTCAGCTTTCTTGTGGGTTTCTGATTATTTTTTCACACTTTCTTCTTTAAATCCTTAGTTTTTGTAGTGGCGAATCGAAACCAGCCACGTTGCACCTCCAGTAGTTTGTATTATTTTCGGACGACATAGTGTTTGTTCAAATTTTTGTCAAACGTCTTTCGTCTTTTAGGCGACTGCATTCGCCATCACTCATGTCGGTTTATGTTTCATGGTGGCTGTGTATGCTGTCGTTGGAGCCTTTATGTTTCAAGCGATCGAGTACCCTAAAGAAATGGAGTTTCAAGGTCATATCAAGAACGACACTTGGAATGTACGTTGGTCTCTTTTTAATTGGAAGCAGTGACATTTATTTATGAAATTATTAGTTACTTACTTGAATACTTCTTGGATACTTGGACGGTCCATCTCCACGAGTTGTGCGGACCACTGCAAATTTGCCATTCGCTCCCTTCCCTCGTAAGCTTCGTCCACGGTTGTGGTTTTATTCGAACATGGTGGTGGGTGTGAGTCTCATACCATGATCTGTAAAATAACTGCAGTTGTAGGCACAGCTGAGTAACTCTGCTTACGAAGACGTCCGCCCAACGTGTAGGTGGCCGTCCTAGGGGACGCTTGCATTTTCGTGGAGCCTACTGTACATTTCTTTTTGTCTATGGATCGCCTGTTCTTCTCATTATGTGACCTGCCCATCTACGTTTCACTGTCGATGTATATTCTCCTGAATCTCGAAGATGTGACAGATTTCTGAGGTCAGAGCTTCGCATGCTGGCTACATATTGAGAGTGCCGGTTATATCTCAGAAGATATCGTTCAAGCGCTGTCTTCGTTATTAAATACGCAAAATCGTTGTACATGACTGTGCAATAACCAACTGCCCTCGTTGCTTCCCGCCTTAACGACGTCAGGAGGTGTTCGTAGAACTTCACTGTTAAAGGTTCATTTGATATCAAAGTGCGAGATAGGAGACTGCTAGGAATAGAGATATGAGATAATCCCAGTGATTTAATGAAATCACCGGGACCTGTGTTTCTTTCGTTTTATTTCTAGTGATATTTCTACAGTTTGCTGTCATCGTAAGGGAATAGAGACTAATAAAAAGGAACACGTAGAACGATTTCGCCTAGGTTGTACATGAACTGTTCGACTTCATCAATAACAGCTCAGTGATCGAAGAAGTCGAAGTGAAGATGGAAGCTCACCGACTGTTCAAACACTACGAGAAGTTGCTTGTGGAAGCCGTAAATTTTGAAGGTATCTTACTTAAAGAAGATATATGGAACGCAGAATTTTCTTTCGATCAGAATTTTAATGAAAGCTTTTCGTGACTTTTAAGAAACCAATATCTTGGGACTCAAGAACCAAGAAAACTATCAGAAAATGCTATACCCTCACCACTATGTTTTTCGTTTGAACATGAGACTTATTAGGGCTATACTCACGAAGGAAGACAGTTGTATACTGTTCTCGCAGTCGGAAGTCTCTTTAGATGGAAGTTAGAAGCTATGAAATGCTAGGAATCTGTGTCCTTTGTTATATAGAATGATTTAGAGCCATTTCACACACGTACGACAATAGGACAAGTTTCTCTGGCTGGTTTCTTGAATTCAAGAAGCAGATTTTCAGTATAGAAGCTCGTATCCACATTATTTGTTTAAAGGTTATGACGAGCACGACGACGTCCGTACGACGTATCAGTGGACGTTCTCTGGAGCGTTGTTGTATTCAATCACCGTCTTCACCACAATTGGTGCATACTTCTGGTTTATTGGTTATCGATTTTTTTCGAATACTTTTCACTCATTTTTCTTGAAACATGCGTCATCGTGTAGGTGCTGAATATTCATCAAGAAAATCTCAAATAGTATGGTTTGGTCTTTGGCGTAATTTTGCACAATTGGTGTCTGTGGTGCACCAATGTATGTTGGTGTTAAACATGTTTAAAAAATTGAATTTCAAAAATACGAAAAAGTTAGTAAGAGGTTTTTAGAGAAACAACTACTACTTTCCTACCCGTGATTTTCGATTCTGTTTCACCACTTTCGGTGATATCCGGCGGAGGCTATGCCAGTAGAAATGCTCAGCGAATGGATTCTATATAAAAAGAGTAAAGGATAAAGCTCTCGGTGTTGATCAGTCTTTGAGGCGTACTCCGTTCGTTCTACTTAAACACCAGTTAAAGGTGTTTGAATACATGTATGACCCATAGAATGACTTGCGGTAGCTCAGCGATGTATCAAATGAGTGCTTCTATTCCACCAGACGAATCTAATATCAGTTTGTGGACGCCAATAGGATGAAAACCTTATTGATTCCGAGGAACGGGACCGAAGCGATGACCCTGCGTTGTGTCGACCCTGTTACACGAAGTTGATAAAGTCTTTATTCGGCTACACTTTCGACGTCATTAGAGTCAAAAAATCGCTATTCGTAATCTGGACACTACTCACTTGCATCTAAGTGTATAAAATGATTTGCTTGTGGTTGCATTGTTAATAATGTCAGGGTATGGTCATATTTGCCCAAAAACCGACACCGGCCGTCTTATGACGATCTTCTACGCGATGGTTGGCATTCCGTTGATGTTGCTGTGCTTGGCGAATATTGCTGAAACCTTTGCACAGGTACTGCGATTTTTCTATTACAGTGCAATCCCACAGTTTAAATCTGTCGCGTCTTCTAAAATTCGACTGTGCTTTAGTAGTGAAGTAGGCCTTAGTCTGCAAATCTTAGATGGCCAGAACAGATTTGATGACATCTACACGAGTAGCAATTAAACCCGAAGTTTGTCAAATTTTTATACCATTATTATTCATTAAATTGGTGTGTTTCTAAACTATACAACAATGGATTCGTACTTTTGAGAAGGATCGCCTGGGACTAAAATTAGTCTAACATTTTTTTTACAAAAATTCAGCTGAAAGTAAACCTGTTCACTAGTCACCACCTCATTAAGTAGAATCCAACTGCAACGCGCAAACCTCTCTCCAATCCGTGAGGATCACTGCTTGTTTTTGTAACCCGTTGACGGCCTGGAATGGCTATTTCTGGGGTATTGAAGAGAAAAAAGGCTTCACCACCCAAAAAACTCTAATCAAGTAGATTTTGTACTTCGGCGTTGTACGATTTGTGAATTTGAGTTAAGTGTCGAGGTAAATGCAGTTGATTAAACGCGATTCATAGTACAAAGACTTTGTGGGACACAAATACAGCTATCTAGTGTTGATTCTGAACTGTACGAAGTACACAGTGGGAGTAATGTCTAAGTGATTATGTTTATTTCCTAAGATCGACTTTCTATTAACCTCGGCAGTCGATTATGAATTCGTCGTTTTCTCTCTCAGCAGTTGCGAGGTTGTTAAACAGCGTACGTTCACTTCCATACAATAATACACATACAATACGATCGTAGCTGACGGTTTAGCAGAATCGCCTTCTACAGAGCCGTTTTTTACGTGCCAGTGATCCACTGAAGAAGAGCCGCTGATCAGCGTCGCATATGGTTGACGATTTCCCTCAGTGGAAGGCACGTAAAAAACGGCTCTGAAGAAGGCGATTCTGCTAAACCATCAGCTACGATTGTATTGTATATGTATTATTGTATGGAAGTGAACGTACGCTGTTTAACAACCTCGCGACTGCTGAGAGAGAAAACGACGAATTCGTATGTTCACTCCGTTATTTTTGACCCTTTGGATCTGTTCCTTTATGCGAGGTGCTCCCATATAACACAGTCAACTGAGGAAAAATGTAACTTGAGAAAAATGAAAAATAAAATGTAAAAAGAAAAATTAATTATATTTCGCAATATACCCTGCCATTAAAAAGAGTAGGCAATAAGTAATAAGTTAAAATTGAGGAAAAATGGTTCGAGACAGTCTTCACAGCAGACAAAGTGATGGGTAAATCACAGAGATTTTCATCTGGTGTATATCGTGGACCCATTTCCACGTCGATAAATTCCTTTGAAATCTTGGTCGGCTTGTTTTAATGTCAGATTGCTAAATGGGTTTTCCATTGTTGAACACGGCTCGTAATTCAACCAATTGCACTTAATTTTCAAGTACTTGATCCATTGATTTCCTTTAGATTTTTACCTACATCTACTTCAAAGTCTGCTGCGCATACTGTCGTTGGCAGCGAAATCGGCGGCGAATCCGACGAGCAGCGCTCTCGTTTCGCTACCATCCGAATGCCGCCATTAACACGATTAGACGAGGTGTGATCGATTTGTTGATTGCTATTGATCCCATCCATCCATAGATTGATGTGTCGATTACGGTAGAAATAGTATTGCTGATCTCTTTATTTTGCATTTCATGCTTTCATACCATCCCGTCAAATAGTATTGGCAGAAGTTTCTGAAATTCTATCATTCTACAACGGTGACATAAGGAGATAGGTTAGACAATGCAATACCTACCTTCTAACCAAAATTATGCCTCTATTTCTTCTTTCTTGTTTCATATAACTGATTGTTAAGTAATCAAGGTGAGCAGGCGGTCGGCGTCTTTTAGCATTTGGTAGGTGCGAGTGAGTATTCCTTGTCAACAGGTGAACTGGACAGGGTAATGTATCTCACGACAACCTCAAGGTAGCAACCGTTAGCTACTGGATTGTTTGAGGTGTAGCGCGGGTAATTAAAAAGACAGGAATCGGGAAATTAAAATCGCTGAGATCTTGTGACAATAAGATTCTTATCATGTCGCTGGACCTATTGGAGTGCATGTATAACATTGACACTTGACACGCGCGTATGGAGGCATTGCTTGTGTCCACTCTAGTCACGACAGTAAGCGCTGGGACATGAGATGAAGATGAGCAGTGCGAAAAGGTCTCCGCCCTTAGGTGCAGCTAATATCTGCTTATGTGCATTGCAAAAAGGTGGTGATTAATCAAGAACTGCATTAGGCGTCCAGCATCAATCATTTATTATATATCGTTTTCGAATACAGCCTAATTTTTTCTTCGATCGCGTGGGTTCTAGAACAATTGCACCTAGGTTTCCTTTCTTTTCCGTTGTTTCTCTTCGGCACGGTATTCTTCCATGGAAGTGGTCAGTTCCATTTATAGCAATGGCTTCAAGTAACATTCTGTGCTCTATGAACGTTGCACAGCTGTAGATACACCAAGAGGTGCAGCTGACTGACGAAAGTAATTAACGCATTCCTCCATCTTGTAGGTGCCTCAGTATGCTTACATCTTTCTGATGTCCACTGTACCTCTCACCCATTTGTCGTTTACCCATCACATTATCTGAGTTCAAAATGAAACATAATACGAGATCATTCGCCTAATATAACTGAGTAAAAAGCAAGCTGTTTCTTCTAGTGATTTAGAGGTGCACCGCAATACATGTATGGTCGTTTGTTCAACCACATTCCCGAATTAAAGCAGGCCTACCACCCTGTGGTCGTAAGCATAGTGGAACGAGACTTATCTTGTGGGGTATAAAACACTAATATAAGTGAAATTTGCATTCAAGTCACATCTATGATGTTACGAATTCATTGGAATTCTTGCACAACCCTAAAAGATTGGTGAACGCTAGAAGTTTCATCCTTTATTTATCCTTCAACCTTCAGCACAATCGTCACGGTCCGCCCAACGCTACAATATGGTACGACAGCACCCATCACTAAATAGAGGACGTGGACGACATGCAGACACAAAAAGTGTACGAAGTTTTGGTCGAAACCAAGATGGGTAAGTTTATTATTTGGTTGGCTTACAAAATATCTCCGTTGAATCCCAGCTATACGCATTATAGTGTCGAGTTGTGATGTAAAATTAAAAAAATAGTTGGTCGAGATTATTTGGACATCAAAAATGTCTAAATAACACTGTAAGATAATGTCTTATTTGTTTTACCCACTAGAAATCGCCCAGCAAACATTTCTTTTATTGCTGACCCAAAAAGGTCCTATTATCTTGTGAAAAATAGCTTTTTCTTCTTCTGAATAATTTAGTTTAGGTGGCTAATCGGTAATCTTTAGAAGTCGCTTGGAGTTGCAGCGTTTTGATACCATCAGTTTACCAGGTCGACGAAAAATCAGCCATTCGCGAAGCCCCAATGGTACTTTGTCTAGAAATGCTCCTTTGAAAAGGTGATCGACCCACAAATTTCTCGAAATTCTTTGGTTTATCACTCTTTATTTACTGCCCACTCTTTCTTTTACATGGCAAACTATTATGTGAAATACAACTACAATGATGCTGAGATATTTGCAAAACTCCGGACCGCAGGTGTCTGTGATGGAGAACGAACGCGCTATTACCCTTTCCTGGGCTGACGTTTTCAACACCACATTATGCATGTCCTTCTTTCTCTTAATCGTGTTTTATAGCCGCTATCAGCAATCATTCGCTAATGGGGTTGATCTGAGGAGCACAAATCGGCATTGAACCCACCTGAGCTGAAGCCATGGGTGCATATGGCACAGTGGTCGGAGGTGCCCTGCAATACACATAGGATCGATCCCAGCGCCACTGGTGCCCACCAAGCGCTCCATCCCTCCGGATCCGACTCCTAGACTTCTTTGAGGGAATAGCAGCACTTGCTCGGCACACCGATAGGCTACCACGAGTTCTTGTGAAGATCAGATATGCACTCAATCACCTCCAAAAGATGCTTTATGAAGTCGAATGCATGGCACATCCCTCAGGGATTGATCAACGCCGAGAGCTTTATCTTTTATATTTTATTATCTGAAGCTGTAATATAAATCAAAATGTAATCATTTTCTATTTATTACCTGTTCTTACTTCGCATCATACCCTACCATGATGTAAAAAGAATTAGCAATAAATAAAAAAGGATTGTATTGTGATTTATACTATAGCTTCAGCTTAGCTGTGTTCAATGCCGATTTCTGCTCCCCAGATCAACCCCGTTGACGGGTGATTGTTGCTAACGCCTATAAAACACTGCTGAGAGGAAGACGAAATGAAAGACACGCATGATGTGGCGGTGAACACATTAGCCCCTAGAAAGACTAATAACAAAGTTCGATCTCTGCCGCAGACACCTGTGCTCCGGAGTCTAACAAATATCTCAGCATCATTGCAGTTGTCTTTGGTTTATTTCCAACTATCATGGTAGTGGGACATAGGTCTTGAATATGGCGAAAAAGAAATGAAATCTGGGCCAAATATGACCACGTACTCTGACTAAGGCTCATATGGGTTCAATGGAAGGAATTCTTACCTTTGACCTACCGAACTAGATTGTACCTTTAACACAGGAGGTTACTGTAGTCACGCTCACGTATGTTGCTAATGTGTGTATTTCGATTCATTCCTGCACGTCGATTTTACCAGATGTTTTGTATCAAAGAATAGGGGACTAAGGGCGGTTTGCGAGCGCTTTCATCCAACATTTAGGACCCATGTTTACTCATATTGGGACTACACGTGCAAAGTGGCAATAGAGGTCATGAGGATCCGAACCAAGCTATGGTTTGAACATTGGATGCTTAATAGAAAATAGATGAGAACGTTGCATGGTGGGCCTAGATGGTAGTAAGTGACAAATATCCTAAAAACTAATCAGATTTCGTATAAACGCGGAAATCTAAGTTTGCTGAATGGCAGATCCCAAAATGCAATGAAACAAGCAAAACAAAAGAAAACAAGTAGTTCAAGTCAGGAAGTGGAGGAAAGCGAAACATCTTCTAGGGCTCGCTTTATATCCTATTTTACAGTGGCAGTCGTTATCATTTGCATAAGTCGAACACAGCGATGAACATTGAACAGTTCAGTACGCATGACATGGATGACAAACGACATCGACGGCAGAAGAATCGCTTAGCAGTGTCCGAAAGCCAGGCACGCGACTGTAAAGGTCCGTACTTTTGCAGTTCTTATTTTACCATATCTGTTTAAAAGTCCTAAACAGTTTCTGGATCTATGGGTCAAATTTCTAAAACCCGTTTGTTCTTATTGATGACGTCACTATTTTTGCCTAATAAAGCTATTTAAAGATTTTTCTTGCGGAGAAATAGATTAGTTTATTTGAAAATCCTAATACAATTCATTAATGGCAAGTTTAAGGAACTGCACTAACACAGTTGCATCATGATGATGGAACAAGCGATATGAAGGTGCATTCAGCGTCCTCATTCCATGACATATCTTTCGAAAGGCGGTGAGTCTAGATCAGCTCCTAGTTATTTTATTTTGTTTTACATGACTCATCATCACAAGTGCGGATCCCAGCACTTCTTGCATTCAATTCTTTTTCCTCGCATTCTTCCTCCACAGTGGTCTTTTAACATTCTGCATGTTTCGGCTGCTGCTTGAGGATTTCGTCGCTATGAATGTCGTGGAATGCTGGTCGGGTCGATTCTCCTTGCAGTTGCTTCCTGATGGATGGCATCACTCACTATATCACCAATCGCTACCACCTTTATCCTATATTTATATCTTTGTTAAGTGACAAAATATCGATGATTTTTGCGTCTGATCATGATTTTGGAATGTCTTAGGAGACGTAGATTTGATGAAAGTACGTCAACTGTGCCAAATGTCGTCATTTCGCCTACCCGTGATGATGACAGGAAAGCTGCGAGTGATGTGGAACGGATAGAGGAGACCAGTATGCAGGTGCTTCCAAGTGTCTTTCTTTTTTTTCAATTTCAGGATCATACAAAAAGTGGTATAAGCTACCAGTATTTTACTGTAACATCAGGAATATCTTCGGTTTAAACATGCGAATTATAGCATTGACTACTAAGTGATTTTACATGTTTACATCGAAATGCTACCATATATTTCCGTTGAACTTTATTGTAGCCCACTAGATTGTACCATGTTTCCCTCTTATTCCGGCACCCAGAAAAGATCTATGGGAGTAATGCCATTTTTTATAAGATTCCTACTTCACATCTACTGTGCAAACCTCACAAATTCTTGCATTCGATTCGCTTTCAAACACCACAATCCATAAACCGCTCCAAGCTTTTTCTAATGCATGGATTCGACTGATGCTGGAGCATTTTCCATTCGTCATAAGTGTCATTGAATACTGGTCGAGTCGATTCTCTCGGGAGTTTTGACATAGACCGGCTAAAGCGTTCCCACTTAGATCGTAGAGAGTGAACTTTTCTCAAGCAAATATGATGCCAATTCCCCAATCCTAGAGGGTTGAGAGGCTCGGTGAGCATAGAGGCAGATCGAAATAGCACCGCATTCGTGGTGACCGACATCACTACCAGTACCCTGCCCCTCCCTAATGACAAATTAACGTCTATAAAATAATATTGTTTGATAGATTTGATGTCGGTCCAGCTGGACTTCCTACTCTATCTGGCTTGCAAGCGAAACACTATCATATCACTCTGTCAGAGACTACAACTGAAAAAGCACAAAGGCGCTCGTTCATGTCTTTCAGTTTTATTAACGCCTGGAAAATTTTTCTAGATTAATGAGCTAAGATGATAAGACGACAACGGTGTAAAAAGTCTTATTTGGCTAACGTCTTGGTGTCTTCGCCTTCTTTAGGGCACATTGATCAGAGTCGATGGTCCACAGATGTTAGGACTCGTGATGATTGAATGAAAGATGTTTTTTCGGCTAACATTAAAAGAACCCAAGGGACCGAAAAGTTAGCTGCGTAAATCTTCTTGTACCAGCCTCGTGTTAGTTTAATAAACTCGAAAAATATTGAATCTGCTTTCCGAGGCTCGATGAAAGTCGGTTTTCAAACCGAGCCTATAATATTTTTGTGCATATAATTCTATTTATTTGAATTTGCCTTTTTTTCTTACAACCAGATTTTGTTTCTTGTAGTTATCCTTTTCTGACGAAGACGATGTGGAACGAAAGCATTTTGATCGTGAAACCGATGTGACGAGGGATTTGGTTCGCGACGTTGGCCGTGACCTGCGCGAAAACAACTGTCAACACGGTTCAGTGAAACAATCAAGTATGGATGGTTCGATGTCTCGAAGGTGTGTTAAAGTGGCGTTCTGGATTGCTATTCAATGTTTCGTTCCCTTATCTTTTTTCATCTATGAAGTTGCAAGAAACATAGAGCTTGAAGATTAGTTGCACTATGCACTGATGATTTTCCGGGAAAACAAGCATACACCAAACTGAACTACATTTTGCATGGACTATGGCAATGACTCCTGGGTGCCGACGTCATAGAGTGTGCTTGCATGCGTGTTCGTTGTGTGAAAGAAAAGTTTAGGTTACGCGAATTCGAAGGTCGCTCTTGCAGGTCAGACAGATCGGAACGTTCGGATGAAATGTCACTACATTCGATGCGAAGACAGGTAAACAGGTCCATGAATATGGAATGCCGTTCCTCCGCTGAGGTGACGTTGGAACGTTACATTCGTTTTAGGGCTATTCACACTCAAAAGAAAAGATGCCAGTTAGCGTCGGTATATGCATTGTGTTCGCCTTTATTTCAGGTACGTGCTTTTCTCTGCAATAGTTTTCTAATCCGTAAACTATGAGCAGCGCCAATATTTTCTTATTCGAACTATTTCATGACTAGTTTGGTTAGCTTGATTGCAATACCGAATCCGAGCTTTCGAAAGCATGGCTCATCAATCCCATCCCATTAAAGTTGTCAAATCGATTATACATTCAGGAGGTGCTCTGTTGTTCAGTTGGTGGGAGGGTTGGAATCCATTCGATGGAGCTTACTACTGTTTTATAACTCTCAGGTAATTGACGACTACCATGGATATTTTAGATCCATAACTTACGAAATATCGAGGCAGTTTTTGAACACTTTGTCTGGTCGAATCTAAACGTCCCACGATAGCCTAATGCTTGCATGAGAAACCAAGTAAAATTGTGAGGTTTTATTTCAAAATTCCTCAGTGGTAAATAGTTCATTCCTCTAAGGCTTTCTACGATTTACGATCATGAAAATGAGCTGCACGATGTTAATCTGCTAGTGACAGTGGCGTACACTCTCTTGCGACAAACTGGTTGACTCAAATGGTTTGTGCAAATGTCCGTCCATCGAATACCTTAACTAAGCTGACGCTGTAAGAGAGAAGCAAACTTGAGACGAGTCCGAGTTTTACTCTTTCACGACTACTAGTTCGCATATGGCTTCAACCTCTTGTCAATCCTTGTGCCTTCTGGTTCTAAACCTCCCAGAGATCTGAAAATTTCAGTTCACAGCCAATAAACACAATGACTAAATCTTAGATTTAAGGTGAACTTGTGTGGGTACAGTTGGCAGAAAAAATATCGGAGTGCTCCATTGATTCCTCACAAACATGATTGAAATGTGTGAAGTTTTGTTGGCTTGGTTTGAAGGATTAGGCTCTAATGTCTTGTGCGTATGATCCACTCACCTTTGCGTTTCAGCACAATCGGTTTCGGTGATATTGTACCAGGACAGGCATTAGATGAGGGATCACAGGTATTACTACGGATTACTTAATAAGTTATTAGTATAGATTACTTATTAAGTTAATTCTAAAGTGATAATCAATATGTCCCAGTAGCGCAGTCTATCTAGTGAGGCATCATTCACACTTCTGTAGTAGTTAGCGTGATTTTCATTGTAAAACCGTGTCCACTTATCCCTCAATAACCGACATACCGCACTGGCCTTGTGCTTTTGCTCTGCCTTATTTGGTTTTATTTTGATTTGTGTATGATCTTGTTCTTCACAGCTCTTGGTGTCCACGATCCAATCAGAAATTTGTGATCGATCATAGGAATTTCTTAAAATTAAGCCCGAATAAATTTCGCTCTCGTAATTGCCAATGTTAAGGAGAAACTGGTAGTGTGTGCACTATATCTACTCTTTGGTATGGCACTTATCGCCATGTGTTTTAAACTAATGCAAGATGATGTTGTTCAAAAAGCACGCTGGTTAGGTCAGAAGATTGGCATTTTGGGTAGGTCTTATAGGTTATTACTCTCAGTTAAGTGAATGGTTAGCTTTTCGCTATTTGTTTTCCGCTTACTTTTTGCTTGTGTTTTCGCTCTTGTTGGCTTTTGTGTTTTGTGCAGTCGTGTTTGCCTCGCAGTTCCATTTGTCAGCTCCTCCAGTGCATTTTACTGAAGCGATCGCTCGGCATACTTTCTTCATTTTTGGATCGATCCCATCTACCATGGAACAAAATGGCTTTTGTGGTACGTGTTCTAAACGTTTTCGTACTTTTGCTTCCCGTACCAAGGTTGAACAACTGTTAATCGTTTGCTGAATGTTCGCGCACCAACCAGAATTTGACTATAAAGGGATTGTGATCGCTATTAAGTGAATGATACGTGTATTCGATTCTAACCCAGGTAAGGTTTCTTTGCAGCATCTAGTTAGCTTGAAATTTATAAGTACTACTTTGTTATTATCTTAACCTTTTGTTTACTGCCTATTCTTTTTAATAGCAGGGTAGGTTGCGAAATATAACTCGTGTAATGCTGAGATATTTGCAAAACTCCGGACCGCAGGTGTCTGCGGTGGCGAACGAACGCGCTATTGTCCTTACCGAGGAGTAACGCGTTCACAATGCGGGTCCTTCGTTTCGCCTGTCTCTCAGCTAGTTCTATCGATCTTTTGCCATCAGCAATCACCCATCAACGGGGTTGATCTAGGAGCCCAAATCGGCATTGAACCCAGTTAAGCTGAGGCTATAGTTGTAATCACAATCTTAATCTTTTTATCGTTGACAGATGATTGCTGGTGGCAAAAGATAGATAGAACTAGCTGAGAGACAGGCGAAACGAAGGGTCCGCATGGTGTGGCTACTCCCCGGAAAGGACAATAGCGCGTTCGTTCCCCACCGCAGACATCTGCGGTCCGGAGTTTTGCAAATATCTCAGCATTGTACGAGTCACTTTGTCATTGTTTGGTTTGAGCTTTCAGAAATTGTACTTCTGCCTCGATGTTGTGTGAATTTTCAGAATTTAGTCAGTGATGAATTCGAAGATGTACTAAGTATTTTGTCCAAAAAAACGGATGAATCTCTCATCGTAGAACAATATATGAGGGACGCGCCTTGTTTTCGACTGTATTAAGCATCATTAGAGTTGACTGAATGCATATCTGGCCTTTACAATGGCTCGCGGAGGCCTGCCGGTGCATCGAGCCAGTGCTGCTATCTTCGCAGACAAGTCTGCTACCAGTTTGTGAACCCCGGAGAGTTGAAGAGCTTGATGGGCTTGGGGCGGCGCGTAGATTGATTCCATATGTACTGCAGGGCGCCTCCGACTACTGCGCTACACGCACGCTTTTGTTCATAGAAGTGAAATACCCGCATTTATTATTTCAGTTTTCTACGGTGAGATGCCGTTATGCATCTAACTTTTATACCCATGTCGTCCGCCATTCTAAATCAGTGGTTATTATATCCTAGAATGAATCCATGAATCTTGATCTAGTTGTTAGCCAAGAGTCTCTCCTAGAGGATTTAGTTGTAGCTTTGTGAAATCCTAGAGCGAATGTAGTCCCAATGATTACAGGTATCCTGCGACATATGAGAGGTCTTTGCTCCGATTCCGTCTCCCGGATTCACAAAGCGTTTTTCCCTCCGGGGTTTGCAAATTGGTATCGTAGTTGTCTGGGAGGACAGCGGTACTGTCTTGGTATATCGATGAACCACCGTAGGTCATTTTGTTGCCCAAATATGTATTAACTCGCCTCTAACGGTGCTTGATGAAGTCGAATTTATGGCTCATCCCTCAGGCACTGATCGCTGTCGAACGCTTTCTGAAATTCTACAATAGCTATGAATAGCAGTAATTTCAATGATGCTGAGATATTTGCAAAACTCCAGACCGCAGAAGTCTGTGGTGGGAAACCAACGCACTATTACCCTTTCCGAGGGTTAACGCGTTTAGCACGACACCATGGGGGTCCTTCGTTTCGCCTGTTCTTCAGCTAGTTCTATCGATCAGTGTCATCAACAATCATCCGTCAACGAGGTTGAACTAGGGAGCCCAAATAGGGAATGAATCCAGCTAAGCTGAGGCTGTAGTTATAATCACAATTTTAACTTATTATTGACTGCTTATTCTTTCTGATGGCCGGGTATGTTGCGAAATAAAACTCAGTTGTAGTATAGCTTCAGTAGCAGTAATATTTTTTGCTATAGGTTTTAGTGTATTCTTGTTGTAATGCGAATCATCACTGAACTTCGTCGCCATATTTTGATCCATTTGATTCAAGATTGAGTCTAGCAGCAATTTTGCTGCAAAGAAAGCGAACGCATTGAAATCGCCATAAATACATTTTTCTGTGCATTCCACTTACGACTGTATTAGGCCGATGAGAGCTCATGCTTCTTTCCATGATTTTGTTTAGTGCATGAGGATTATTCGGATTCTGAATCCGAAATGGAGGACGATATGATTGAAGAGGACGAGGAAGACATTAGCGAGGAGCGAACAGATCAGGCTTGTGTCCATCATGTAATCTTATATATTACGTTTGACTTTACTAAACTAACTTTCACTTGTGTCAGCATGAATAATCAATATATTTCCTTCGATTCTCGAGCTCACACAAGGTTGCTATACAACTATAGTTATACAATAACCTCGTGTGAGTCGAAAAATCTAAACAAATGTATTAAGCCTGAAATAACTTCTAACAAGTAAAGTTAATAATAAAAGGATAAAGCTCTAGACGTCGATAAATCCCATGGGGATGCACCATGCATCCGACTTTAATAAACATCGTTTGAAGGTGACTGAATACATATCTGTCCTTTACAACGACTCGCGTTGACCTACCGATGTGTCGAGTCAGTGCTAGCACCCTCATGGATATGTTTGGTATCAATTTGCCCATCCTGAAGTGATGGAAGGCTTAGTGGGCCAGGGGCTCGGGAATCGATTCCATGTGTATTGCAAGGCACCTCCGACCACTACGTCACACGCGCCCTTGTAAAAATAATAACAATAGATATTTTCTCCATGAATGAATGGTAGATAATTTATGCGACGATGGCCTGCTTTATCCACTCATTTCGTCTCATTCCACTAAGATCACTTGTCCTTTTTGATGAGTTGTCAGCTTAACACTCGGATGAAGTACACTAGAGTACTGCTCGTAATACAAAAGCTATAAGTGAAGTATAGAGCAACTCTGCTTTAATTATACGATCCAGTTTCAGTTTTAGGACAAGAGGACGAATTCATCAGGTTCATCAAAACGTGACGATGATGTTGTACTTTACGGATCGTCCTACCGTAGACATCACTATCGTCGATAACTTGACCGTTTGACAATCGTAGTAAGAGGAAAACTGCAGTGTAGCTTCATCTTCAATTATGCGGACATTTCGTAACGAATGTGCAATGCAATTGAGACAGCTTACAAACTCTCAACTTTGTTCCAGTTCTAACAAATGAGTGTTTGCACTGGTACTGTTCCTTTTCCGTTTGAGCATAGAAAACTCATTCTAAAATGGCAATTGCTTATCGCAAATGTTCTCGAAACTCGGGTAAAAGCTCCCAAAACTTGCTCTGATGTTGGGACCACTGATTTAATGCAGAGCGGGATATCTTAGTATAACGACAACTGTTTCCAAGTATCAGTTCCGCCAAAAAGAGCCAGAAATCTCACTCAGGTTAATCGAAACCTCGTCGCTTCGGTGTATGTAACCATTCATCTAGTTGAATAAATCTACTCATAAAAAGTAAGTTGATCCTTGATATGATCATGTCGAAGCGAATTGATGTTTTTCCGATTTGCATTGAATCGAATATGGTATGTCCGCAAAATGAGACCGTATACATCCAAACACACCTGCCATTTCCCAGCATAGAAACGTAGGAAAAGAAGTGGTGCAAAAGCTCTGTATTCGGAATAGTAATGGCTTTATAATAACTAGAATTCAACTATATTCTCTTTTTTCTTATTCGATGAACTCCTACTACCCTTAACCTCTTCTATAGACCGACTGTTATCGTTACATCGTTACGGTTCTAACTATTGTCACACAAGTTTATCAACCTCTAGTTTTGGAATATGGTCAAGCTCAGGAGTTTTTCGTACAAATCATTGATGCTGATGATTTGATTATCAGCTATTTAGTGTTATCAATTGGTACAAATTAAAGGCTTAAGATTTTATTAGCGGAGCCAGCCAGTGGCGCACGTAATGATGCGGGAGTTATCTCAACGTGGAGTAGAATTACGCATGAGATTGTTTCTGTGCTAATCAGCGTAACCCTGATCTTAGTGTAATCGTTTCGGTTAGTTGTATTGATTTGCTCATCGTTGTATATTTTTATGGCCACTGATGATGATGATGAAGTGTTGATTGATGGTGTTGATGATAATTCTATTTGACTTTCAGTTATTGTATTTTTTCCGAAGCCATCAAAGCATTTGCATCCATACATTAAGTTTTCTTACCGCACTGATAACAAACTTTATGGTGCTCTGCCACTTTATATGATATTTTTATTTCTTTGTATGCACTTTTTATGTGTAACGTTGATGACTTTTGTCTTGCAGCGATTAAGTTGTTTGCCAAAAATGTTGCCTTCTATCAAACTTCGTTGACATCTGACCAATTCCATTCTATTCCACTTATTCCGTTCATTTTTGCACCAGATCTATGTAGTCTTCAAACGTTGTACGGTGTGCTCTTGATAAATGGAACTATTGTTTTCAATAAATATGGTTGTGATACAAGCGCATGTAGCGTTATGGTTACAGAGGCCGTGCGGCACACACAGGACCGATCCTTGGTTTGACTCCACGGGCTGGAAAGAGTAAACTAATTCTCGAATTCCCCAGGAGTTGGCAAATTTTAATACATAAGAATTCACTATATGGAATAAATACGGATTCATCCAAGACGCTACGAATGCAATAGGATGCGCGACGCATGTTACTTGTCGACGTCGAACACTTTCTTCCTTTTGTCCTTTACAGCAGTGATTTTGGTTATAACTCAGCGATTGGTTATGCCCTTGGATCTATTTGGAAAGAAAACATGAAAGAACATTTTTGTAATAGAATGCTGGCAATGAGGTAGCACCAATATCTTAAATTGTGCAAGGTGGGCTACCTGCCAAGGAACAATTCTTTATTACAACGCTGAGTTTTTATTAATTGCCAGTAAATAAAAAGTCAACGTAATAAATTGCTGAATTGAACATTGTGAATTTAAATTATAACCTCAACTTAACTGGGTTCAAATGCCGATTTGGGCTCCCAGGTCAATCCCGTTGCATCGTGTGGTGGTGAACGCGTCGTTCCCCGGAAAGGACAGTAGCGCCTTCGTTCCCTACCGCAGACACCTGCGGTTCGGAGTTTTGCAAATATCTCAGTATCATTGTGCCTTTTCTTTATTATTTTTTATTTGCTCTCGAATGAGCGTGAGGAAAATATACTGAGGGTTTAACGCTATCACCTTATCAATACCGAGCTCTCAGCAGCTGTTCCTTTTACAATATATATTCGGTGAAGTGTTTTGCTTTTTTTATAACAATAAAAAATTAGTACTGCCAGTTCGCAAACTACTGCCGAAGTCAAGTGAAGAACAAAGTACTTCATAAAAGTTGGAGAAAATACGGCTAGAAAAACCATAAATTGTAATGGCAGCGAAACCTCAAAACGATGGAGAGCTGGTTTTGGCCAGAGCGAGGGATTAAAGAAAGGGCTGATTTTGCTTGCATAGTAGGGAGCTTTTCTTACGATGTCTCCTGTTGAACATTGGATGCTGTTAGCAACATAACGAGTCCCAAGAGGTTGAAGAGCTTATTGCCAATCCTAATCAGTCTTTCTCTTTTTAATTTGAGCGTTACTGAAGCACGGCTCTTGGCTTTTGTAGCTGCTTTTTCCCAGGCGAAAGGCGCGCGTGGCGCAGTGGTCGGAGGCGCCCTGCCACACACATGTGGAATCGATTCTTCGCGCCCATGGACCACCAAACCTACCATCTCTCCTGGGTCGGCGAACTCGTACCGGAGTGCTCTGGGAGGATAGCAGCAATGGGTCGGTACATCGGTAGGCCATCACGTGCCATTGTAAAGGCCAAATATGCATTCAATCTCCTCCAAACGATGCCTGATGAAATCGAATGCATGGCGTATCCCTTAAGGGGTAATCAACGCCGAAAGCTTTATTCTTTATTTCGCTTTATCCTTTTTCTGGGTGAAACGGTTGGCTGCTGAAAGCAGCATTTTTTGAGCGATCAGCAGCTTTACAAAATAGAGACTTTATAAAATGTGTATTTTTGGCTTTGTTTGTCTTTTCAGTACGTGTCCACGGATTTCTGTTGCATTTGTTTATTCTTTCTAACAGTGGGCGTTCCACTTAAAAGAAGAGAATTTCCCTACGAATTAGAAATGTCACTTTGCGCCATGAGTCGAGCTTCCTCTTCGTAAAAGTGTTTACGGAGCGAAATAATGATTTCCAGCAACAATTGGTGGTACGGGTGCTTCACAGTTCGGATCGGATGGTCCAATGAATGCATTTCTTGAATGTAGGAAGTAGCCAACACCGGAGCGGAAGAAGTCGAACTCTGCTCGGGTTGCTACACAGTCCACATCTCTGAAATGGTATAACTAATTTCATTTTAGTTGTATACAGTTTTAGTTGTTATGTTTTTTGCTTTTTTCTAGTTTTTTGCGTTATTTTACTGTGGTATCTCCATTTCTTTTCTATACGCCAAACTGTCGAAAATAAGGTTGGTCAGATAACGTAATATATACGAATGATAAAAGATGGACAAGAGTCTTAGTGACTAAATTCCTCGAAATAGCAAACGTACTGTAAGAGGGCTCGATGGTCAGAGTTCTTCATGAAAATCCTAGAAGAAAGGTATAATTCTCAACGAGTTCCTAGAGCGAGCAGAACCCACTGGACTACTCTTGCACGCGGCAGTGAAGAATGGAAGATTTACTGGCGCCCGCTCGAGTCACTCGACGACCAGCAGGATGACAATTGATGCCAGAGTATTTCCTTTTTACCATGTTTTAATTGCAGAATATATAAAAAAAAAAGTTGAGAGACAGGCGAAACAAAGGAACTGTATAGTGTGGTGGTGAACGCGTTAGCCCCTGTAAAGTGTAATAGCGCGTACGTTCTCCACAGCAGACACCTGTGGTCCGGAGCTTTGCAAATATCTCAGCACCACTATGGTTATAAATGTTGTTTCTATACTTGCTAAGACTTTATGATATTTCGTTTCCATAAAATCAAACCAAACTTTTTTAAACAGAAAGATAATGCAGCTATGAGAATGCTAAGGCATAAGCGAACCTCATTGCCAGTGATAGATGATTGCTGACTGCAGCGATATAGTAGAGACATGGCACATTTTTTCTGGATACGTGCTGATCTACGTGAACGATTCCGAATCATCACCGATGCCGGATGCACCACTGTGCTGAACGTTCGATGGACTGCAGGCATAGATGTGATGTGGTTACAAGCTGAGCCGATGGGAGATCCGATAGCGTCTGAATACCGCGAGATGTTGAATGCACAGCTCGAAGACCAACTCGATTCGATAGTTAGATCACTCCACGGAGTTTTTCAAAGAAAAAGTCCACCAATCTGACAGGGAAACCACTGAAATGCTTTTTTTCAGATTGGAAACTTTGCTGCTGCCCGATAAGAATCACTGAGTGCTCGAAGCGGGGACGACTATTGCTGTATTGCTTCCAGTCCTTGTTTGTTTGCATTTTAGTACTTATGCCTTATTCAACTGTACAATCATTGACCAAGACAATCCATGGTAACTCGCAATTCCAGAAGCCCCATCCTCAGCGCTGGACGTGGGAGTCTCCCAATGGAGAGTACCATAACGAAATAGACCACATCATAGTAAATAGAAGGTTTTGTCTAATCGATGTCGCTGTCGTCCTAAAATTCTACGCGGGATAGGACCGTCGCCTCCTTCGTGCAAGATTCTATTTCTCGTAGAAAAGAGAAAAAGCCGCTAAATTCAAAAACCGAAGTGACAGAACCACCGTAAACTGGGACTTATTCAATTCATTAGTCGGCTGTTAGGAAGATACCGTTATCGATAACATCGACGATGAATACGATCGGCTCATTCAACATCTTCACGTAAGCGCTATGAAAGCTGAGTTCGACAGTCACCAAGAGACGTCTGTCTCCAGGAAAACTCGAGCTGACACACCAGCGCGGATTCACACGAGCTGCAGGCAACCGCAAACTAACCTCCGGACTTGCAAAACAATGCAGACAGGCGATAAAAGATGATTTTAAGAAGAGAAGAGCAGCAGTGATTGCCGAAGCTGCAGAGGCTGGGAAAAGCATTGGCAAAGCCCACCGAAGCTTCGCCAATTACAAGACCAAAATGGTTGCTCTCCGGCGCCCAGACGGAACAGTTACAGCAATCAGAAAGGTAATGGAGAAAATCATTCACGAATACTACTCGGATCTCTTCGATAGCCACGTCCACCTTCCGTTATGGGAAATAAAGGAGGATGGATATGATGTACCGCCAGTTCTCCCTTCCGAAATCCGACATGTCATTTCGTTGGTGAAAAACCGAACAGCACCAAGTCCGGACAGGATAAGACCAGAACACCTTAGGAACCTTCTGCCAGTCCTCGCAAACATACTGGCTCGGCTCTTCACACGTTACCTGTCTGAATGCAATGTCCCTACTCAGTGGAAGTCCAGCAAGACCGTGTTATTGTTCAAGAAGGGTGACCTACACGATATCGGCAACTATCGGCCAATCTGCTTATTGTCTATCGTCTACAAACCTTTCACTCGAGTCATCCTAAACAGGATTGACAGAGCACTAGATGAAGGACAGCCATGTGAGCAAGCAGGATTTCGAAGAGGATTTAGTACGATGGAACACATCCACACGGTGACATGGCTCATTGAAGCATCGCGAGAGTACAAAAGACCTCTCTGTCTAACTTTCATCGATTTACAGATGCCCTTTGATTCAGCTGAGATAGAAACAGTCTTGGAAGCCCTTGATAGTCAAGGAGTCCCTACTCAATACATAAAGAGTCTTCGTGAGCTGTACAAAAATTTCACAACGAAGGTATCACCATTCCACAACGATATTAACATCGACGTCAAAAGAGGAGTTAGGCAAGGCGATACCATCTCGCTAAAATTATTTAACGCCACTCTTCAAAACGTCATGCGAACATTGGAATGGGATAATGTGGGATTGAAAATCGATGGTCGTCAGTTACACCATCTTACCTTGCTGATGACACCGTCCTTATAACACCGAACATTAGCCTGCGGAACGTATGCTTGAAGACTTTGATAAGACCTGTGAAAGGATTGGTCTTAGACTAAATCTCACAAAAACGATGTTCATGAAGGACGGATTCGTTTCGCATGCCCTTCACGCTGAACGAAACGAATATCTCCGAATGCTCCAGTTACATTCATCTAGGTCGGGAAATCAACATGATGAACAACTTAGCTCCAGAGTTGAGGGGGAGCAAATGAGCGGCTTGAGGAGCTCTCAAGATCATCAAGGAACTAGTGAAGAGAACAAAGTACACCCGACACCGTGCCCACCTTCTCTACTCAACGGTGCTTCCTGCCCTAACGCATGCGTCAGAAACCTGGTCGCTGCGTAAGCAGGATAAAAGGTCACCTAGCGTTATCGAACGCGCAGTCGAAAGGATGATGCTAGGAGTATCCCGTTCCACACAAGTAAGAGAAGAGATCCGAAGCCCCGATCTGCGTTAACGATCAAAAATCAAAGATGCCGTTCTGTACGCCAATCAGTCGAAGATAAGGTGTCCCGGACACGTAGTGCATATGGGCATCGATGGACAAGAGCCGTCAGTGACTGGATTCCTCGTGATGTCAAACATACTGCAGGATGACCACCGACTCGATGGGTCAGAGTTCTTCACAAAGAGCCTTGAAGAAAGATATGATGCTCGACGAGTCCTTAGAGCGAGCAGAACCCACTGGGCTACTCTTGCACGCGGCAGGGAAAAATGGAAGATTTACTGGCGCCCGCTCGAGTCGCTTGACGATCAACAGGACTACAGGTGACAGGTGATTCAACTGTACACGTACCGTTTTAGTCGACTGAAGCAAACGTGTGGGGTGAGACAGCGACTGACGTGTAGCGTCCAGTGCTCGTCATTTATTGCACTCATACAACGATCGAAATCCTTAATATATTAAAATAATTAGAGGTTATCAAATACGTCGAAATACTTCAAAATTTAGCATAATTAAAGTCCAACGAAGTAGATTCGATTTTCACGGTTGTTATATGGCTCGCCTACTTATTCTATTGCATAGTTACGTATATTATTTCTACACTAGAACGAAGAAAGCGTAGTGGCAGTGATGCCGTTTATTACGCATAATGCCCCGTTTCGGCCTCTCAGAAAGCCAGTCACTCCCAAAACAAAGTGTTTCTATACTCCGAGGTTTTCTGCAATCTAAATTTTTCATTTCCAATTTGAAAAAGTGGAGAATGGAAAATTTTCACTTTTTTTCTGATGACCTCTTTTTCTCTTATTTTTGAACTTCCAATCAATAAGTGGCATTCATATTATTTGATGAAACGGGACAAGGTTAAAACAAACAAAGTTGTTGACAGAAGAAGCTTTTTTGACGTATTTTTTCTGTTTACTGTGAATACCGTTTTTCACGAGATGTTTTTCTCAATGAGCTTCTGAGTGCTGAAATTGATTGGGTTGAAAAGAAAACAAAGTGTTGAAAACAAATTTGCCGATAGCTGATTTGTACCTCGAACGATTCAGTTGTCGATTCATTCAATGGGACATCCTTTAATTTTGTGAACGTATCAAGTCGTTTATACCATTGTCTGAAACAGAATACGTTCTTATGAACCGGTGATAATTTTTGCAACCAGGCTTGTTCATTGTGCAATTATTGTAACAAAAAGTAAAGCGATAGGTTTTGGTCAGCTAGGTCAATGATACCAGCCCTCTACATAAGCCTGGTATTAAGTTGCCAACGAAGTGACAGAAGAACTGGTGAGCTCAGGGCGCGGGATCAAAAGGATAAACCTGTTCGTAATAAAGGGTATCTCTAGACAATACACCACAAGTGCAACTCAAAGAGACAAAAAATGCTGTAATGTGGACTTTAAACTTGCACAGTGTCGGCTGTTGAAAAACAAAGTTATGGAAACATGACCTGTTCAGTGATGTAGCCAAGTTCGACATGTCAATTTCTACAGCATTTGATACGGAGTGATGAGAATGTCGTAAATGATAGAAATGTGCCTGAAACAATCGAAATTCAATCAACTGGTTCCCTACTCGCAATTACTATAATTGTTATAGTTAAACAGCCACTATGCAATATCTTGTAAAAAGGGTTAACTCATTCCTGTACTAGGTTCTATAAAACGGCTTGCATCGAAGCGGTGACCAACCCGTGCGTGACACTTGCCATGTCACATGCGGCTCTCACCTGTCGGCACGGTACCCTCGTTTGTACATATCCAAATCGATGAATTCCAGTTTCGTGCATGTTCACGGAATCGACACGACCTTAATTACACTATGCTTTCTCCAATGAAAAATAGTAAGATATGACTTGACTTTTGACACGAAATTTCTCCCCTCATTGCTTGCTTACTTCAGCCTTATCGTGAGTTGGATGTGGTGGTGATTGCAATGTGTCGATCTGCTACGTTGAGCACATTCGTCCACCAGTAGATACTGTCATGTTGAGGAGCAGTTCTATCCGGAAATCTAGCGAGAAGTAACTCAATTCTACGAATCAATTGTCAACCAGGTAGCCACCTCCTCGCAAGAAAGTCCTCCTCCTATCTGCACAGGCCTCTAACTTCTTATGCTAAGAATATGAGAAGGAAGCTAACATAGCTATCTCTAGGCTCAAAGGAAAACAACTTTGGGCTAATAGCAGTTGAATGGAAATGGTGCTTGAGCTCGCACGACTCTTCGTGAGCCGTAGAAACAAGACGGGCCATTGCAGTAGTATTCAAGTAACATCTTTGTAACTTACTGGCATTAACCACCACTCTCGTTTTCATTCTCCACACGTTACAATTCATCTTATACTTCGAGTTCATCAGAAAGTCGAAATTAAAGTTGGAAATTGTTGTTACTCGTTCCTAAACAAAAGCAGAACGATTTCCACTTGATTTGCGATTTTTTCGGGAAAATTCTCTGTGCAGGACCATATGTGTACCTGCTGTACGGGCAGTTGAAATTGAACATCACGGTGCTCGAACAACAATGATCCGGCTTGCGGATGTTCTGCGAAAAGACCCTGTAGGTATTTGCTGGCATTTCGCTTGCTCATTAAATCACCAGCATTAGTAACTGTATCACGTCATCATAGCGCCTTTCTTGTTTTCTAACTAGTTAAAATGCAAACAACAATACAATATAACTAAATATAAACAGCCACTTTTTCGCAAACGGAACGACCTGCACCCATTTCAGTTGACAAAGGTTTACCTTTAGTATTTTTATATTCATTCCAGCTTCAACGTCCATTGGGTCTGTTGGAAGGAGGATATCGTCGATATCAGAGAAGGCGATCATATTTGCCCACGGTTTGGCAAAGAATAGACAATTCACATGTGATTCTTCAATACCTGGCAGTAGAAATGTGATACACTCGGAGATTTTAAACTTTTACATCTGAATAACCGTATAAACACCATATAAACGACAAAGATGACAAAGCATCCGATATTGATCTCTACCTTAGTATACCGCTATACCAAAGAGCGCGTATAGCACAGTGATCATAGGCGCTCAGCAATAAACATAGGATTGATCCCCGCGCCCTAAGCTCACCAAGTCCTCCATCCCTAGGGTCGACAAATTGGTACCAGGCTTCTCCGGGAGGGTAGCAACACTGACTCGATACATTGGCTACGAATCATTGTAAAGGTCAGATATGATTTCAATCACCACTAACAATGCTTAATGAAGTCGAATACATGCTGCACCTCTCAAAGATTGATCAACACCGAGAGCTTTAGCCTTTATCCATAGTTTACCTCTGCACCATACCTTGAACACCCTTAAGCATCCTAGAAATGATTGAATGCATTTCTGACCTGTACAGTGACCTCTCCATAGCTATTAATGCATTAAGTCTGTTTCTGTTCCTCCAAGACAAGTCCTATACCACTCGACTCCAGATGAAGATGGATGAACGGCTTACTCTGCTCGAAGCTCTGGTCGAACCAGCCACAATGTGTATTGCAGACCAGCTCTAATCACTGTGCTACACATTCCACAAACCATATTGCACAGCTAAATCGCTCAACAAATTACATAGGAAAGTCCTGTCGAAATCTTCGTGAACAATCATTTATCATTCATACAGCTCACTGATAGAAATAGGGATTTTCAATGAGTAGTTGTAAAAGTCCCGTTTGGTTCATTTTTTTCATTATTTTACAGAATTCTTGTTAAATAATAGTCCGTAAGTCATTGAATTTTTTGCGACGCTCACCTCTGCTGAGTACGAGACCATTCGGATTCGAGTCGGAAAGTATAGGCCACTTTGGCCATGTTCGTATTATCACCAAACCTGAAAGTTGGTTTTGCGGAGACGATGGACTTTTGGCAAATATTCTTTTTCAAATAAAATTTTACGGCTACTGTCATTGTTATAGATAATATGGTTTCGTACAAATCCCTTTCATAGGGGAAATCTCAGATCGGTAGGAAATAAGAAGGAATGGAGAACGGTGGAATGAATAAGACAACCTTTCTCTAGAGAGAGTACCCTACAAAACTATTGGATTTGTTTATAGCTAACGGTTAATCAGTTAAATTTGTAGTTTTTATAGGTGATAAGTTGCAAGTTTATACTGAATTAGAATACTCGCTGAATTCACGGTGAACCTGAGGCACCACAACCTCTGTGGACAATGGCGCTAGTGGGCGACAATACGGCTGTGATGCCGTATGTGGTATCTTTTAATTCATGAAATTGAGCTGATTATATATTCAAGAAGTGGGACAACTATCGTATGGGTACTGATATACTGCTAAATCTCACCTCTTCTTTCATATTCTTTCAAGATCCTGTGGCATGAAACGGAAGCTGATTGGACTGGTACTACGATTTTCGTTGCGCCAAGAGCGAGCCATGTCTCAATGCCGACTAAAAGCGTTTGCCAGTCAGTGTAGATGTACATTGCAGCCATGCAGACGACAAGATCGTGACGGGGTTCGCTGAAGTACCTCTAAGTAAGCTTCCTTCTTTCTGAATGAACACTTGCCCTTCGGATAAGGTACAGACTGCGACGCATGCGCTACATCTTTTTTCTGTCTCTAGTGCCTTTGCCACGAGCCGGTGAAATTTATATGTTATATGTACGTAAAGCATGAACCTGGGCCGGATAGCGCTGTGACAAGATAAGTAGTTACCGTATAGTAGGTTCCACACTGATTTTCATAGCGTCCTCAGCATCTGGTGTTGCTCCAATGCTGTAAAGTTTCTGTGTAAATAAATGGTAAGATACATTATATAAATTACAGCGAATTGTATCGCGACTAAATATAGTCACTTTAAATAATTTCTATTAACTTGGATACGGCATCATTTCATTTGTTGCGAGCGAGTCTCTCCTGTGGCATTATGAACATATGCAATAGAGTGTGAGTTACAGACAAGTATTCTGTTATTGTGATGCGTATCGAACAAAGTTTCACCGGAATTCCTTTGATGTGTTCTCGTCCAGCTCACATTCTGCAATATGTCCAGACCATGAGCATATATCAGTTGCAGCGCGTTTTCCTCGATGTATTCGTTGAACAATGGCATGAGACACTGTAAGGTCAGAAACTTAACAACTGAAGAAAACAGTAGAAGATAGTTCCTTTGTAGAAATCTAGTTTAAAGTTTCTAGTCACCAACTAAACAAAATAAGCAACTGTCTTATAAATACAACTAAGATGTTGCTGAGATATTTGCGAAACTCCGGACCGCAGGTGTCTGCGGTGCGGAACGAAAGCGCTATTGTCCTTTCCGGGGAGTAACGTGTTCACCACGACACCATGCGGGTCAATCGTTTTGCCTGTCTCCCAACTATTTTTATCGATCGGCGCCATCAGCAACCACCCGTCAACGGAACTGATCTAGGGAGCTCAAATCGAAAACGAACCCAGTTAAGCTGAGGCTGAAGTCGAAATCACAATCTTAACCTTTTTATTTACCGTCTAGTATAATTCTTAACAGCAGGGTATCATGTGAAATACAACTAAGATACTGCTGAGATATTTGGATTAGGCTCCCTAAATCAGTCCCGTAGACGGGTGATTGCTGATGGCGCCGATCGATAAAACTAGCTACGAGACAAGCGGAACGATGGACCAGCATGGTGTCGTGGTGAACGCGTTACTCCCCGGAAAGGACAATAGAGCTTTCGTTCCGCACCGCAGACACCTGCGGTCCGGAGTTTCGCAAATATCTCAGCAACATCTTAGTTGTATTTCACATGATACCCTGCTGTTAAAAATTATACTAGACAGTAAATAAAAAGGTTAAGATCGTCTTATAACTAGTTCAGCATTTCATCTCAATGAGGTGTTTCTGGGTTCCGAACTGCGATGTGCAGTTCGGGATCCGTTTATGCTGAGAAGTTGCTGAAGAATACCCGAAACCCCATTAGGAGTAAGTATCTGAAAAGTAGTCATTTATTATTTACTACCTATTCGTTTTTCATTGCAAAGTATGATGTGAAATATAACCACAAAGATGCTGAGATTTTTGCAAAGCTTCGAGCCTCAGGTATCTGTGATGGGGGTGTAACCCATTAATACCCTTTCCGGAGGCCACAGAGAGTTTCACTTATAGGTTAAAACATGGCTAAGAGAAAGGCGAAACACGAAGAGCCCGCGTGATGTGGTGGTAAACACGTTGGCCTAGGAAAGGGTAACAACGACTTCGATCTCCACCGCCGACTCCTACGGTCCGGAGTTTTGTAAATATCTCAACATCTCCATGGTTATCTGAAAGGGGTTCGAAACTTCCGATAAACCGAGTTAAGCGCAAATATGTATCATGAGTTGTCATTTTGGAAAAAATCCAGTGGGAAAGCACCCTATCACCGATTCATTTCACTTGACGATGCAGGAATATTCCATTTCATTGAAGTTCTTCACACTCTCTCCTGTGATGCCTAATCTCAGTTTTGTGACGGAGTGGATGACGCCTAATTTTTCGCTGTACCAGTGACACTTTTGGATGTTACACCGGGCACTCCGGGAAGTTTTTATGTAGTTCCGCTTTCCTTTCCTGTGATTTCCTTGTTATAAACAGTTTATTCTCTGCGTTTTGAAAGAGTTTGAAAGAAAGCCTCTCTTATCCTATTTATGCTTCATATTCTTCTATATATCCATCCATGTTTTTTGATGAATTCACAACTTTTGCGTGTGGAGAAAAAACGCTTGTGCACTATCCAACCATAATACTATTTATTTGATACTTGAAAGGCTTGTCCTCACCGGTTATGCGGGCCTCAACACAATCGCCATTTTTCAGAGATTTGCTGGTTAAGCCATTGTGGCTTCCTGGAATCCCGAGGTAAGCGTGGCCAAAGCCTGCCCCAGGTCTTCACCACCACAGGCAGTCGCAGCCCTTGTGGATCAGCGGGAGATTTGTCACCATGCGATTTTGATACCAGGACGGTGGTGGATACTGGTATTGGTTTACTCTTAGCTAGGTTTCCTGATGGAAACGCAGGACTCCTTCTCAGCTTGGGAGACTCTGCCGGGGAAACGAATCCCCCGATGTACATCGCAGTCCGACACCCAGGAAAACCTCCCAGCCACGATGAGACGATAAACCGTTGGGAGGTGTTGCTGGGTGTCGGATTTGAGAGCCGTATTACCGTCAACATTCAACAGAGTATAAATTCTACAAAGAATATTACGTGGTCTCTTGGTTTCGATATCATCCCGTTCCATGCACTACCAAAGCGTCATCACAGCAACTGAAAATTAGAAAATAACGAGTTGCTTGTCAAAAATGGTGGTGAGCACCGCACGCGATGTCACTCCTTTAAACCAAGGGCCTTCTGCGCCTCTTCACTGGCCGCAGTCTCCAAACTGCATGCTCTCTTCAGCAGCAATAGTCTCTCGCCATAAAATGGGAAATTAAGGGAAAAATTGTTAAGAGGACATCCTCCTGAGTACAACGCCCACAATAACATCTGGTAAGAAATTCCTCTGCACGGAAACAAACCACAGGGAAGGAAATGACAAAATGACACCTATAGGTGTCATGTCGCCCAATTTCGTAACTTTATTTTGACACCTATAGAGGTCATTCGTCGCGAGAGTGTTAAAAAATGGCAATCTGGCCGTACGCTAGTTCGGTAACGGCTCGATTTTACACATGACAAGGTTTTCTTTTGTGAAAATTGCTGAAATTTGCCGTACCCCCAATGGTCTATTCACTCACATTGACACGGTGTTGCTGAATGCCGAATTACGATGCACAACGGGGGTTTATCACCCAATGGATCGTTTCTGGCTAAGAAGAACCTCAACACTTTCATTTGGGATCGCAGCTAAATGCTAATGCTAGGAGTCACTGCTTTCGCCTTTGTAACAACAGTCAACACTGACAAGAAGTAAAGACTGGGGTATACCTTAGCACAGCTTCTAAGCTTCCGCAGAAGCAAGTCATTGGTCGGTCATATCAGCGGTCAAATTAAAATTATAGCGACTCCTCTTCTCATGATTTTTCATATTTATCAATCTACTCAAGCAGCCTTACCCAAATACTCTCCATCAGACTGCTTTGAAAAGCAATACAGAGGATGTTCCATTCTTCCATCTGCTAGAAAATGTACCACCTAAATTGTAAAGTGCAAAAAATTTCTGCTACAGTTGAAAAAATATTCAGTTGTAAAGCAAAACTTTTTTTAATAATAGAGTCAACCTATGAGATGTTTAATAATTTTGTCAAACTGCAAGCATTCGGAAAATATATCTTAGCCCAAAAACGCCTACCGCAAATTTTCCATCAACATTTTGCTCGTTTCTCTGTCGTTTGAATACTCCAAGAATGATTTGGCGCGTTCCTGAAATGGATGAGAATTTCTTAGTCAATAATTGGTTTTGTTTCCTCCCAAGGTTTTACCGCCTCGTCGTGGCTGCGATGTGCGGCGGAGAATTGATCATCCTGGCAGGGTCTCCCAAGCTAAGAAGGAGTTTGGCGTTTTCATCAGAAAGCCGAGCTAAGAGTGAACCAATACTAGGATTCATCACCGTCCTAATATCAAAGTAGTCTGGTGGCAAATCTCCCTCTGATCCACAAGGGCTGCGACTGCCCCTGGTGGTGAAGACCTGCGGCGGACTTTGGCCAGGCTGGCCTCGGGATTTCAGGGATCTACAATGGCTTAACAAACAAAACTCCAAAAAAGTGGGATTTTGCCGGGGCCCGCACAACCAGTGAGGGCGGACCATTCAAGAGCCAAATATCTAGTAATTGGTTTTCTTTATGAAATACGATGCATGCTGCATCGTATATCATGCAGTCAATAAGGAAAATAGATAATGAAAAATAAGCATCATAAGAGATAAATAATGATTTAGTTGTCATTAAACCTGGAATCGCACGCAACGAAAACTGGGTCAGAGCGCTTCACCAGCGTCTGATAGTACAATATTCCTTTCCTTTCTTTGAAATCTACACTTTTAAAATAACTCTTTCTTCACTGTGAAAGAAGAACAGAACTCTAGATATTGGAGAAGGGATGGTGTCCCACACTGCTTTCGTCCTTATAACGGTTTTCTTCCGTTTCACTCCTACTCATAACCACACCCAACTAGCCAGCTAGGGTTTGTCCGGTCCATATCTTTTTCTTCCACGGTCATTTAACCCTTTCGCGATGTTTTTCAATAACTGACCATAATTTCTCGAGCACTGGATTGCGCCACGATTTCAGAACCTCATAGATCTGTTGAAAAGACCTTATTCTATAACCGTAGTCACACATGTAATTGTCATAAAATCTCATATCAATTTTAAATACGCTTAGGAATAAAGCTTTCAAGAAATCGAAAACGTGGTTTCGAGTTTTAAAGTTTCCAATGCAACATTAGCACCTGCAAACATGAACGATTCCTTTGAAAACATCATGCAGTCAATCTCTACGGAACCCAGCTTGTTCAGTTGCGTCCGCTTTCAAAATATGAGCCTAAGAAAAACTAGGAAAAATAAGTTTCTTGGGTTCATGAGTACTCTGCAAAAAAAGATCTGTAGATTCTAATTCGGCTGAGAGTTGAGACGCGTTGCTGTAATCGAGCACTATTTTCGCATTACATAACTCCTATAAAGGTCACGCCATCGCAAAGGGTTAAAGAGTAATTAAATTTTTTTCTCATAAAGCAATTTCAGATGGAAAATATGGTGTGAAGCGTGCATCAGAACGGTCAGAAATGTCCTGCAACACACGCATGCTCGTTAGTTCGATCCTGCGCCGTGTGCAAACAATGGTCTTTATTCTTTCTAGCTTGGAAAAGCTGTGCAAGGCCTACCTAGTGTTAATGTGAGTAATCAAAACCTTACCTATGTCTTTTTGTAGGAATGTATCGCCAATATTCTTCAACGCCCAGATATTGATAGTTCGTTGATACCAGGCAAATCCACATAACACACAAAATACTACGACAGCTATTCGAAATATCTGTAAATAAAGAATCACGAAAGCTCAAACAAAATTTGCACTTGACAGGCGAATTGATAGCTAAGCAATAAATTGCTCTTCCTCATGTCTGAACCACAACAGCACGTTCCCAAATATTCACTACTTACCAGATAGTGATTCAGTCGTTTTCAGGATGGCAGTGACCATCGCTAACTGTTAGTGGTAGAGTTCAAAATAGAAATGTTAAGCTCCTTTTATGCTTAGGAGACCATAGTGGGAAGACAAAGCTTCAGCTCTACGCCTGAGCTCAATAATTCATCCAAGATGATGTGGTAATAACTGGCAAAGTAAGTGGACACCTGTTAATATAATAGCACTGTGTAACCAAAGCCACCCCCAATTTGGTTCCTCATTAAACTTTTTTAGAGCTCAATGTTAACTTTTTTCACTGTTTATTACAATTTTCCAAGGCAGGTTATTATGTGTGACTCTACCACGATGATGCTGAGGTATTTGCAAAGCTCCGGACCGCAGGTGTTTGCGGTAAGGAACGAACTCGTTATCACCCTTTCCGGGGGCTAACGCGTTCGCCACCAGACCATGCGGGTCCTTCGTTTTCTTTGTCTCTCAGTGAGAAACAAAGGCATTAAAATTTTTAATGTGTTTTTTGCATATCTGCAAAACAAAAATGCAAAATAATGAATTTATAAGGAGCAAAACACTTAATTAAAGGCCGTGAACAAATGCTCTGGAGTTAGTCTTTCTCTAAGTGAGCAGACTATTCAATCCTTGTGGGTCTTATTATAATTCTCTGGAAACGTTCTATTCGGCAAGACGCAGCCGGCTTTTTCTTTGCTGAGTTGAGCAAAAATAAACTAACCAAACGATAAATACACAAATACGGAAAGACAGCTTCGCCGTTCAACTAATTAAACACTTTAGAGAAAGGTGCCATAATTTGTAGGTTCAGTTGCAAAATCAGCAAGTCTACTTGAATACTTGGATGGGCCGCCAGCAGAATTCCCATTTTTCAGAGTTTCGCTGGTATAGCCACCGCGGTTTCCTGGAGTCTCGAGGTCATCCCAGCCAATGTCTTTCCAAGGTCGTCACTACCACTACCACTACCTTTGTGGATCAGAGGAAGATTTGCCACCACTTGTCTAGTTTTTTACTAGGATGGTGACAGATCATGATATTGGTTTGCTCTTAGCAGGACTTCCTGATGGAAACGCCGGACTCCTCAGCTTGGGAGACCCTGCCAGGGGATGAATTCCTCGCTGTACATTGCAGTTCGACACCCAGAAACACCTCTCAGCCACGATGAGGCGGTAAACCGTTAGGTGGATAATTAACAGAAGTGTTTTTGAAATTCTAATACGGCTAGATATACGACCAATACTTCGATATTTCCTGAATTTATTTATATAGTGGCGATGTTTGCTTGGTAAATTGCTCAAATGCGTAAAAGAACATTGCTCAGCTCTCAGACATTATGGTACGAAATATCTTTAATGTTAAAGTGATGATTATCGATTGATAAAGAAAAACTTCAGTAGTGCTGTATAAAAATTACTTTTATCGATTCATGAGAGTCTTTGTTGCTTCATAGAAATTTCTTCTCTGTTCCGGGTGAATTTTCCAGGACTACTTCCACAGAATTCATCAGCTACAGAAATTTTGGAGAAAGACTCACCCATTCAGTTTTTTTCGGCAAGTTCATAACAGTTCTCGAAAATCGCCATTTCAGCGTTTGGGTGGTGCATAACATTTGTTTGTTAAATTTTCGCATCGTGTCAATACCTGCCACCGATCGAAAATGCATCGATCGGTTTCGAGATCAAACGAACTATGCCGTAACTGAGTAAAACGTCGTGATGATTGGTAATCGTGGGTTAAAATAACCCGAGATCTAAGAGTAAAACAAGAAAGGAAAACGCTATTGAAGAGTAAAAAAATCATTCACAAGGTTAAGACAGATACGATTTACCTTGACCAATTAGCCGTCGCGTTTGTCGAATGTATTGGACGATTCAGTCGCCGTTTCGCGTTTACAGACACGGCAGTGAACAGTGTAGATATAGTGACGATAACCTAAAACGATTGCTATCGCCGTCGTCGTTGAATCTACGACATCCTGGAGTAGGTGCAAGGCACGGAACAATTACGCTTTCGACGAAAACCAATACCTGAGGGATGCTCCATGCATTCGACCCAATTCGTAATCTCCTAGTGGTGATAGGTGCACATTAAAACTATAGAATTACTTGCGAATCCTTACCGATCTACGTGGTGTTCCTGTCTAAGTGGACAAGTTCACTACCAACTCGGAAGGTTGAGGAAAAGTTTGTTAGTCCTGGTAATAATTGAGCCAGCGACCACGTGAGCATTGCAATGCACCTTTAACCAATGCGCTACATACGCTTTAAAGCAACACGAGCTCATCGTAATCCAGGTTCAAGGATTGAAACCAGACGTGATGATGCATTAAGAATACTGAGAGCTCATGTAGTAGTTACTCAGAATCTTTCATTTCCTTGTCCAAATCGCAAAAGTGGACTAAATTGTATGAGAGGGTTCATAACAGCCTAAGTGGTCAAGTAGACCATCATCATCAGCTATGTAAAAGCCAGCAAATCTTTCTTTAGTGTTTTAGATGAAAACGATACGAAAAGGTCGGTGTGTCCTTGGAACGCAATTTCGTGGAAGGGGTGCTAACAAATGGTAGTCTGATGTTTCAGCTCTCTCTCTAGATTGTAACTTTTTCTATTTACCAATATAAAAGACCAGCTCCGCTCATTACTGCGTAGTCAGATTTCTTATTTAGATGCTTTCTGGTAGGAACTACGGTAGTTCATTTGGTTCCGTGGACGTTTGCGTAGCCTAAGCTCACTTACCGTTTAGTATTATACGTAGTAAAAATCACAGTAGGAGCGGAAGAATTGACCAAAAAGCAAAATTTCTTTCGATACTTCATTCCACATAAGACTCGTCATATCTCTATTGTAAAATACTTTGCGCCTCAAACTCATGTTCCGATGAAATGGTCTTTCATCTTTAAGAAACAAAACGGAGTACCTAACAAATAGCATGACTGCTAGTTGATAAAAGTGTCTAATGTTTAATCGCGATGTAAATGAATCGATTATCGACTTATTGATCCGTCAGCAACAATGGCTTGAAGTGGGAGTAATGCTGCTGTTGTCCGAATTTTTTGAAAATGAACGCACCCGAGTGAATGTCATTTTAAATAACCCTCTTCCTGCGGGCAAATTCCTTGTTGTATAATCCATATAATCCAGCAAAGCATCGTAATATCTTGTTCGAAGTTGTTGTTTACAAGGCACAATATACCAAAGCCCTGAAGAAATCAATAACTATAATTTTTTAATATGTTATGCTAGTTCTTGTATTTCCGTTTGTTTTGAAGTTGTGATGCTCACGTTCCTCGCAACGGCTTACCCCTCATGGTGACTGGTTAGGCGCTCCTGGGTGTCGAACTGCGATCTACAGCAGAGAGTTTCGTTCCCATGGCCGGGTCTCCCAAGCCGAAAAGGATCCGGCGTTTTTATCACGAAGCTTAGCCAAGAGTAAACAAGTACCACGATCCACCACCGTTCTGGTATCAAAGTCGCATGGTGGTAAATCTTTCTCTAATCCACAAGGACTGCGACTGGCTGTCGTGGTGAAGACCTGAGGAAGACTTTGGCCAGGCTCACCTCGGCATTCCAGGAAACCACAATGGCTTAACCAGCATGTCTCCGAAAAATGGAGTTTATGCTGAGGCTCGCACAACAAGTGAGGACGAGCCATTCAAGTATTAAGTACCAAGATGTTCACCATGGGCTCTAGCTGGCCAACTGAACAACTAGGTAATCTTTGATGAACAGGAGCATGGCAAGTCTTACTTAAATCGTTGCTATTTGTTTAAAAAAACACTGAGTGCAAAGGTGTAGGTAGACGTTTTGCATAATGGCGAGTGACACCGCTTAAAAATTGGCCACAGATCAATACGTAGTTCTATCTAGACGATCGTCATGTCCTGTTCTTCCACAGTCGTAAATCTATCTAAACTCGTATATCTCAGCATTTCATACAAGTTATATTTCGCAACATACCCTGCTATTAAAAAGAAAAAGGCAGTAAATAAAAGGGCTAAGATTGTGATTATAACTAAGCCTCAGCTTAACTGGGTTCAATGCCGATTTGGGCTCCCTAGATCAATCCCGTTGACGGGTGATTGCTGATGGCAAAAGATCAATAGAACTGGCTGAGAGACAGGCGAAACCAAGTACCCGCATGGTGTGGTGGTGAAGTGCGCTACTCCCCGGAAAGGACAATAGTGCGTTCGTTCCCCACCGCACACCAGCGGTCCGGAGTTTTACAAATATCTCAGCATTATATATGAGTTATATTTCGCAGTATACCCTGCCATTAAAAAGAAAAAGGCAGTAAATAAAAGGTTTAAGACCTATCCATACTATTCGAAGAGATCACGCCCGGGCTATTACAGGATTCCAGAAAAACTGTGATCAACCAGTATTCAGTATGTCACTAAGTACAGAAGATGAAATCTTTTCTCCGTAACCAGAGATCGACAACACATGAACTCGACCATTTCCACAGTTAGCCAACGAGACCAGAGAGGGAAAAACTACTGAGGCTTGAAGCATAAATGAGCATGAACCCCAACTAAGACAATCATAAGATATTTCGAAACCGACTTTCCTTGAACCTCGGTTTCACTAATCAATATGTATTCTTTCTTTGATGAGCTTACACGAGGTTGATAATGATGTTTATTTTCGGCTAACGTTTCGACGTCTTCGTCTTCCTCAGAGCCGATGATCCGAGTCGATGGTCCTCGCTTGTTATTCGTCTCGACGTGGCAGCTTCGCCTTCGTGTCGAGCCAGGTCTTCCTCAGTGAGCCATCTCCTCGGATGAGGCATCCTCACTCAGTGATGCCCTTTTATACACGGTGCTGATGGTCGATATAATGATAATGTCCGGT